AAAGAAGGGATTTGGTCACACAAACTCTGGTATCCTGAATGCGCTACCACTGTTATTGAGGGAACAGTTTCCTAATGAACATGATGAGTTTAGTTTGGCTTCTCTTCTGTCTTGCACCTGCCTGCTTGCCCTTCTGCATGGTTACACACATCAGGAAGGCCCTCACCAGGTGTAACCCCTCGAGTTTGGACTTAGCCTCCAGAAATGTGACAAATATATGTAGTTTTTCCCTTTTGAAAGTACCCAGTCTGTAGTATTGCCTTTCAGCAGTTAAAAGTGGACTGAGACATGCACGGAACCAGAACATGCAGAGTCAGGGTGAAGAAAGCTTCCAAAATAAACAACCACTGTGATCAAATCCCCCGAGGCCAGTGGCATCCTAGACGCCAATTGGTTGAAAGATTACTGACTCTGAGTGCACAGCGGGAAAGGCAAAACGGCCAACAACAGTATCTCTGGGGGCACAAAGGACCTCGTGAGTGAGATTCAAGAGACACTTGCTGAAAGGGTTCACCTTCCTAACCCCCTTTCCCGCCATCATTTCTACTCACCAAATGGATAACCAAGATGAGGTATTTGGTTTGGTGATTTTTGTGTTATAAAAAGCTTTTAAAATAATGGGGCCAGGGAGATGGCTCAGGGGAATAAGCGCTTCCCTGGCAAGCACAAGGACCTGAGCTCAACCTCCAGATCTGCCCCCCCAAAATAATAAATAAATAAATACATAAATAAATAAATAAATAAATAAATAGAATAGTCAGAGAGCTACCAACTAGATAAAGTAGGAGGCTATACCTTCTTAGATGTGCATGGTACAAATGGAGAATGTCCACGGCGATGTCTCTAAGCTGTCAAATAGGATCTATGCAGGAAAATAAAACCTCCTAGGCTGGAAAACTTCACATATAAAGCTGGAAACTTCGTAAGTCCAAGAAAGCCAAGGCTACAATCGGAAGTCACCTTCAAGAGGCAAGTGCATTATATTCCACACTTGTTATAGATGAAGATGAAATGCATACAGCGATAATGAGAAGATCGAAGAGAATAAATGAAGAAAATTACCAAAATCTGCCGAAGCCTAAGGAGTACAGACAGTACAGCAGGGAATCAAGGGGTGTCTCAGAAATCTTTCTACAGAGGGATTTGTCATCAGTGTTGACAGGAGCGAAAGGGACCTCAGCCTCACAAACCAGATGAGTGTTGAGAACATCTCAGTGGAATAAAGGGATTGAGAGGGAGCAGGCCAAGCGGTAAAGTCTGTCTGCAGTGTGGAAAATCTAATAGATCATGAAGATTAGGGCTAGAAATCATTTTTAGAAAGTGTTAAGTTTTAAGAAGGTGAGAAAGTCAAATTCAACTGCTAATCAGTGAGCTTTTTTTTTTTTTTAATTTTTTTTTTTTTTTTATTTATGTGTGTGTGTGTGAGACCAGCTCAGCCCACCAGGGGGCGGGCTGGCTGGCATGTGGTGCTGGGGATCGAACCGTGGTCCCTGGGCTTTGCTAAGCTTATTCTAAGTAGGTGCTTTAGACCACTGAGCCATCTCACCAGCCCCAATCAGTAAGCTTTTGAAGCGCTGGACAACTTTCACATGTAGAGCTCAGAGAGAGAAGGCGGTGATGGATTACCATGTCTGGAAGACTGGTCCTGGATGAGGTGGGGCTGACAGAGTTCAATGTTCTTGAAGGATTGAAGGAAAGGCTGGGATCAGAAGTGGGCCTTTTATCAGCCAAAGAGCATCCGTCCTGTGGGGGGAAAGGAATGGTGTGATCAGGCACCAGTGATCTTGAGTCTAGAACAAAGCAACAGCCTCCTCAGCACACTTCCAGTCTCCAGAGTCTCTTCACAGTCCTGAGCTGTCTCGACTGCTTGTCAGCTGGTGTTACCTCACTGAAACACTGACCACACTCATCAGCTTGTCCCTGTCCTGCACCCTCCTCAGCCTGGCCTGGAGGCCCACCCCGGTTTCCCTCAGTCAGCCTCTCTCCTCAGCGTGTCTCCGCCCATACCCTGTCTCCTCCGCTGTCGTCACTGAGGCCTTGTGTAGATGCCTGCTTTCCCCCTCCTCCTCCTTGGCTTTGCTTCTGCTGTAAGCATGGAACATCCTAGAAAACAGGAGAATAAAAGATATCAAACTTCCTTTCGCAAGATCGGCCCTAAGAAAGAACTTGGGTAAATTAACAAAGGCCCCTTAAGAAGCTAAAATTACTAGCCTTTACCCAAAAGAGGCATATTAAAGTTTCTTTGGTTTTTTTTTCATATTAAAGTTTAAGGTGAATGAAAAACACTTTTATAGCTACCGGCCTAGACTTAGTCACTTGAAAGAAAACTTATTATGTACCTTGAATAATAATGGTGGAAAATATAATATTTCTAGACTACTGTTAACTTTCACTCCCCCCTACCACAATAATCAAACTCTGAAGTGTCTGTATTTCAGCTCTCTTGAAAAATACAAAAGATTGTTCCCTTTTGTTAATCATAAAAAAATAAGGACATACATTTCCTCACTTATTTATCCTTTGTGCCAAAGCTGGTTGCTAAGGAAAAAGAAAAAGCTGCCATTGTTTCTGCTGAAAGGGGGTTGTGCTCAGGTGCCCTGTTATTTTATTAGTGATATACAGTCACCTCGGTATGCTGATGAGTGGCTATTATACCCCGGCAAAATGATGACAAGAAGGAGACCCAGTCTTTAATCTTCTCCCTGTTGATAGGAATAAACTTTTGAGCTGGCGTGTGGCAACAATGGTGCCTACACTCTGAGTAATATTCTTTTATTACTGCTAGAAAAGGCTGTGGGGGCAGCTACCGGGGAAATAAGGATTTTTCTCGAGTAGCTTAGCTGGCCCTCTGGCTCCTCACTACCTCCACATTTCATTTACACAGTAGAATTACTCTCATGCAACCTCCATGAGGAAAGCTCAGAGAAACCAGAAGAGAAAGAGAAGAGAATAGCGGTAATCACCACGTTTGGGACTTTGGACTTGACTTTCTATTGTGGTGTCAAGCAAGCCCCTAACCTGTCAGCACCATTTTTTAATGTAACTATCCAGATATACCAGCCCTTAGAGAATGTGTGTTTTTATCGAGAATATACTTGGTGGATTGGCAAGATAGTTCAGCAGACCAAGTGCCTGCCTAGGCAAGCACAGGGACGGTGCTTCAATCCCCCCGCATCCCATGTGGTGCTGGCTCCATCCCCAGGTGGACTGAGCCGGCCATGAAGATCTGGTGTGGAAGTGCACGCTTCTAATCCTAGTGCTGGGGAGGCTGAAAACAGGAGGATCACTAAAGTCCGAGCTGTGTAGTGAGACTCTGTACCAAATAATTTTTTTTTAAAAGATGCATTTGGATGAATTTATATAAATCCCATAGGTTTTTTTTTTTTTTTTTTTTTTTTTATTTGGTTGTTACAGGGTCTTGCTACGCAGCTCAGACTCATGGTGATCTTCCCAGCGCTGAGATTACAGGCATGTGCCACCATGCCCGATCTTGGTGGCCTGCTCAGTGTGCCAGGGGTGAGGCTTGGTGGGGTGTGTGGTGCTGAGCATCGAACCCCAGTCCTTGTGCTTGCCTAAGCAGGTGCCTAGTCTGCTGAGCTATCTCACCGGCCCTTCCCATCCTATTTTCCATATATGCACATGACAACTTAGAAGTGAACTTTGTGTCTTTGGGTGGGTCTGACACAGATCAACATCTTCCAGGTTGGGCTTTAGCAGTCACTCCCCGCTCTCCCCACCACCACCTCTCCAAGCAAATAAGTATTTGTGAGGAATCCCCTGAACCCCTTCACTGGCACCAGGAAACTCTCTTAGAAACCAAAGCCTCCTTCAGCAATGAGCAGGGTTTCTCCTGACAGATGTATCTTGTGCAAATGTTTGGGTATTGGGTTCTCCTAAGTGGAGTACATCTGGGTGACAGTGACTATTATGGGTTGATTTGTGCTTCCCCAGAATATGTTCAAGCCCCACTCCCAGTCTTCAGCATGTGATCTTATTTGGAAATAGGGTCATTGTAGGTATAATTAGTTTATATGAGGTCACATAGCATAGAGTTGGCACCTAATCCAGTATCAATGGTGTCCTTAGGAAAAGGTAAAATTAGGACCCAGAGACAGGCACGCAGGGAGAACACCACAAGCCAAAAGGACTACCAGAAGTTGGAGGAAGGACTTCAGCAGGCCCTTCTGAGAGCCCTGAGCACAAGGTTCTCTAACATCTTGATTTGGGGGCTCTAGTAAGGTTATACATTTCTGCTGTTCTGAACCACTCAGTTTGTAGTATTGTGTTACAGAAGTTCTAGGAAACTGCTATAGTGGAGTTTAAAGCATATTTTAACAAATGAGAAGATCTGCTAAGGTGGCATGTGAGTCTATAGCTGTGGCTTTAGTGAGAGTATATTTATTGTGTATCTGTTCGTATTGCTCTATTTTTTAAAAAAAGCTGATTTGTTTCCTACACAGGAGACACACAGCTCTCTTTTTACTCACCTGTCTTCAGCAATAAGGAAATAGTCCCTGTTGGTGGTTCTGATGGACATCACCTGATCCGGTTGGCACTTAAACATCTTCTGTACAGACTGTAGCTTTTCCGGGATCGTTATGCCAACCTCGACCCTGGAACTTCTGTTAGGTGCAGACAGCCAATGTACACACACAATTAGGAAGAAAACTCACTTTCATACAAGGATTCAAAGTGGGTAAAACTTACAATCTGCTTGATTTATTTGTTAAGATTGCTCAATAATTTTCATATTGAGTATTTTATTATAGAAAATAAGTTTGGGCTTTGGATCTACTTTATCATGAACTGGAAATACATTCCTCTGCCTGAAATTTAATTCAAAAGTCCTACTTTGTTGGATTCTCTCTTTTTTTCTTTCCTGTTTTGGTACTGGGACTCAAACTCACAACCTTGCACTTGCCAGGCAGGTGGTGTGCCACTGAGCTATTGTCCCAGCCCTTGGCTGGATTCTTGATTCCACAAATCATCATCTTTTTTTTAGTTTTTTGTACATTATTTCTTGGAAAGAAAATAAAAAAGAACTGATCAAAATATTTTTAAAAAATCTATCTTGGCTTTATAATGTAGCAATTTAATCTGTTCCCCCCCTCTACAAATTAAGAGAACTAAAGTTCTTTTTAACTTCATGTTTACTAATTAAAAATGTATTAGCTATAACATACATAACTACTTCTATCCAAAATGTTTTTTATTTTAGTTCCTTTTCAGCTACAAATATTATAATAGGTTTGAAACTCCTTGGTTCCTTCAGTCAATAATTTAAATTCAAATTTGCATGCAGCTTGTAGTATTTGACTTGAGAGTATTTGTTGCTATAAAGTTTTCTCGCTTGGATACACACTGATCAATTTCAATGGAACCGCGGTGATGGCTGTCTTTGTAATAGGCAAGACTAAGTCTCTTTTCCCCACTCTTCGACAGGATAAAAAAACGCCTTTTCCAAGAGCCCTAAAAAACATGGAAACATTTTGCATCTCAGTTAAAACTCAGGTGGAAACAAAAGACAAAAGGCATGGGAAGATGCTCATGACGCTGGTGAGCTTGTTGAGTTGCTGGGGATACTTACTGTGGAGGAGAACAGCTGGGGAGGTGGCGACTTAATGAAGTAATCTTGTTTATAGATTTCATTTCCATAATAAAATGCAAATTGTTTGCCTAATAAAAGAGAATGAACAGGACTCAGTTTATTCTCTCGTAAATATCATAAAAGAACAGTTGGACAACACTTTCTGTCCCTGGAAAGCTTTTCTAATTATTCAGTTACTCAAAAGATCAGCTACAACAGCCCAAGAAAACAACGCGCTAGGTGTGCACTTCTTAGGCATCTATAGTGGTGGCCTTCGTTCAGCTGATACACACGAGCACCGGGATTCAACTCCAATTCATCTTGACTTTTCCACTTCTGCAGTGTGTTGTGGACTAAGATGTGAAGAACGTTCTCTCTGCATTTCCATTATAGGAGCAAGATTTTTTAAAAAATAATTTTATTGAGAAACAAATAGCAATGTGACAGTTTCAAAACAGGTTAGTAGGACAGTTATAATAATATATTGCACATTGTTATCTTTGTAGTGGTTATTCATAGCACAAGATGCAGACATGATATCCTGTCCAAACACTATTAGTACAAATCTTTCTTTTCATTGAATTAAGAGAAAGTAGCTGTCTATCCTAGCTATTTTGTATACACAGATACAAAATGGTCCTTCATTTGTATCCCCTTTTTTTGTTTAGTTTTCTCAGAGATGGGTATTCCATTGCCATTTAAATATTGTAGGTGCATGAATTCAGCAAAATAATCCAATATAGTCCAGTAGTGCATAATAGTAGTGGGTTACCTGTAGGACTGGCAATGTCAGAAGTCATGGACTTGAGCCTTTACAGCTCAACGTATTAATATGGCTTTATTTTTTATACCTCGTTTTCATACTTTTCTGCTGGATGTTTCTTGACATTGCTCTTTGGCCTAGTGAATAAAAGCAAAACTATTTGCTGTTAAATATGGGATGTCAAAGTGTTTTCTTGAGGGGAGGTGGAGTTGCTGCCAAAGTTGTGGAACAAGAAAGATCAATACAGGGCTGGGGAGATAGCTCAGGGGTCTAAGCAAGGCAAATGCAAGGGCCCAGGTTCGATCCACCAAAACCTGGCATGGTGGTGCATGCCTGTAATCCCAGCACTAGGGAGGTCAGGACAGGAGGGTTACTACAAGCCCAAGCTGCATAGTGACAGCCTGTACCAAACACATAAATGGAAAAAAAAAAAGGCAGAAAAACATGACATATAATGAAGAGAATAACCAAGCAGTCCTAACATATCTATAACTGACAAAGATGTTAGAATTTGCATAAAAGGTCATAAACTGTTATTATTACAGTATTTTCAAGAAATCCGGTAGCAATGTAAAATAAAATATATCTGAAGTGAACTTTTAGAGATGAAAATTACAATGTCTTAAAAACATTGTAATATGAATGGTTGTATCAGCAGATTGAATATTGTAGGAAAAAATACACACTTGAAAGCATAGCAATTTATCTAAAAATTATCAAAAAATTTAAAAACATAAAAAAGTTTCAAGTGACCCAATCTATAAGTAATTAGGGTTCCTTACAGTGAGAGACAGACAAAAGTATTCAAAGGAAAATTCTAAAACTATAAACCCAGAGATCCAAGTATTTTATTAAGCTTCACGCATAACACACAAGACATATTAAGAGAGGTACGCTGGAGTCAGAGTGCTCAAAATCAGTGCTAAAGAAAGAAAATCTTAAGACCAGCCAATCTGTGTGTGTGTGCGAGGGTGGGGCATAATACATACAGAATATAGGGGAGAAAGCAAGAAAGTGATTTTTTTATCAGAAACAATGCAATTAAGAACGAGTGGAAAAATATATTTCAGTACTAAAAAAATACTATCATTCAGAGTTCTATATGCTGCAAAAAATAGTTTTAAAATGCAGGAAATTTCAAGACACTTTCAGATATGCAAATGCTGAAAAATTCACATCAGAGTTCCTTACAGTGAGAGGCTTGTCCCTCCCTCCCTCTATCTATCTATCTATCTATCTATCTATCTATCTATCTATCTATCTACCTATGAATCTATCTATTTCTTTTTGATGTATTTGGTACAGGGTTTCACTATGCAGCTTGGATTTGTAAGGATCCTCCTGTTTTCAGCCTTCCCAGCTCAGCATGTCCAGGGTGGGGCCTGTGAGGCACGTGGTGCTGGGGATTACATTCTGGTCCCTGTGCTTGCCTAGGCAGGCACTTAGTCTGCTGAGCTATCTTGCCGGCCCATGCCTGTCTTTCTGGCAGAAAAAAATGGGATACCAAATAGACATCTGAACTTATAAAATAAATTAAGAACATTGAAATAGTAATTACAAAGGTGAATATGAGATATTCTTATTATGTAAAAAATCAATTGGCTATGGAAACAAAAATAACAAAGCTTTACTCAGATTAGAATAAATTTATAAGTAAAATACATAAAGGCCAAGAAGAGAAAATAGAATTAGACTATAAAGTTCTTGTATTATTTGTAAATTGGCATAAGAACACTTGAGATTAGATTGTGATATGGTGAAAGTGTACATAAACCATAAGATAATGAATGAAATAATAAAGTTCAGTGTTGTAACTCATAAACTGACAAGGGCAATAACAGAATAATTTAAAAGTGTTCAACCCAGAAGATGACAGGGGGGAGGAAAACAAATGGGACAATTAGCAACCATAATATCGTATACTTAGCAACCAACCATGTCACTAGTAACATTAAATGTAAATCATCCAAGCACCTCAGCAAAAAGGCAAGGCTGTTAGGTTACACAGAAAAGCAAGACCCAACTCTAGCTTCCCATTAGAAATATACTTTAAATATAAATATAAAACAACGTAGATTTCAGTAGTATAAGTACTACACGCAACACTGGAGCACCCAATGTAGATTTCAAAGCAAAGAACATTACCAGGAATAAAGAAAGTCATTTCATAATAATACCGGGATCTATTAATCCTAAGTGTATATAACAACACTGAAAGTGTATGACATTAAGAATACACCCAACAACACAGCTTCAAAACACACAAAGCAAAAAAATAATAGAACTGCTAGGCACAGTGATGCATGCCTGTGATCCTAGCACTCTGGAAGCTGAAGTGGAAGGAGCACTATGTGTTCAGGGCCACTCTGGGCTACACAGTGAGTTCAAGTCCAGCCTGAGCCATGTAATGAGCTCTTGTTTAAAAAACAATTACAGACTCAGGACATAGGAGAACCTGTACTGTAACATCATGTAACTCAGTAGTGTCCCAAATTTTCTGATCAAGGAGATTATGGGGCCACAGAGGAAAGTGATCGATGATGTAGAGTGTGCCTAAGGAGAGTCACGTGGAGAGAAAACATTCTCTCAGGCTTTCACAGAGAGCAAATTGGTCAAGCAATGGCTGTGACTCATCCACATGGCTGACACTGACAAAGGTTCTACAAACTACTGCACATGATTTGAGAGTAAATCCTGAGGAGATCTGACTGACCTTGTCAGACACAAAAGTTACATTTCTTGTTATATAGGTCTTGCTTTATCTTGGTCTTAACCAATCAGCAGAAAAGTATAAACACGAGGTATAAAAAGTAATGCCATATCAGTATGCTGTGCTATAAAAGGTTCAAGTCAACAACTTCTGACATTGCCAGTTCCACAGATAACCCACTATTATTATGGACTATTGAGCTAACATCACACTTAGTGGTGAAAATTTAAGACTTCTTCCTTCAGTATTAGTACAGGAGTCCTAAAAAGTGCAGATTGGAAATGAGATGGCATAGTTTTCTATGTATAAAATCGTGAGACATTTATAAACAAACAACTGAAAGTGGTATACTGATTCAATAATATTTCATACTACAAGGTCAATGTACAACAATGAATGAACTCTGCACATATAGCAAACAAAAATTAGAGAATGAAATTGTAGCAATGGAGTGCAAGTCAGGGGTTGCTGTGGGTGAATGGCAGGGTAGGAAAGGAGTGGGAAGAGGTGAGAAGGAACTCTTGAGATGGAGAAAGTATTCTGAGGTTTTATTACAGTGAGTATTACACATTATTACCATTATGTGTGTATATCCATTATTCTTGTATACTCATTAACTGCTATAACTAAAAGGAATTTGGGGGCCTGCCCCTTAGCACAGTTCTTTAAGTGGCTGCTTCAACAAAGCAGTCAGGCTCAGTTGCTGTGGTTTGATCCCCACAACTCCAGTCAGCCAAACCTGCCCTGAAGGCATTCGGAGCAAAAAAAAAGGAATGTGTCTTACTCTGTATCAATTTTGTCTCAATAAGTTGATGCTTGAAATGGTGAAAAAACAAGCAAACAATACAAAGCCCTCTCCATAGTTTTCTACTAGAAAACTATAATAACAAAGTTACAATTCAGAAAATTTTATATTATCTCCATCTCTGGGAGTATCTAGAAACTAACTGAAAAATACATAAGACCTTTACAGAGAAAAATCTAAATAAAAATTCACAAATGACTAGAGCCATAAAACATGCTTCTTAGCCTATTGACTTGTCAGGTCTTTACAGTTTATTCCAATAAAAGTTCATCTTGTTTGGATTTTTAGAAAAAATAAAGTTTCACAAAATCCAAAGTATCTTTGAAAAATGAAAAAAGCAAAGAAAATTCTGCCCTGTTAGATATCAAGACAGCTACAAAGACACAGTAACAAAGACAGGACGGTACCAGCGTGGGAACAGGCAAATCGACAAATGGAATCAAAAAGCGTAGAAAGCAATTCATGAGGTATGACAAGGAAGCACCAGAATTCAGTGGAGGGATAAAGATGAATAATTTAGTAGATGCTGTTGGGGTAAAGGGCTGACTGGATGAAGATGGATAAAGTTATAGCTCTAATTCAAACCACATTCAAGAACTACTCCACAAAGAGACCTTAATGTGAAAGAAAAATGTTAGGCATTCAATAGAAGAATGTGTGGAAAGAATATCTTTTTGACCTTAAGGTGTGAACATAAACTATATATTATTTGAGAGAGAGAGAGAGAGAGAGAGAGAGAGAGAGAGAGAGAGAGAGAGAGAGAAGATCAGTGGCTGTCTGGGGAAGTCTATATATGAAAGAGTGAAAGATAGAACAACAAAATAAGTGAGACTGGTACCTTGCTCATTACTCTGGTTTAGGTGACAGCTTTACGGTTGTACACATCCTCCAAAACATCAAACTATGCAGTTACATGTGTCAGCCTAGTCTATGTTAAATGTACCTCAATAAAACTTTTTTAAAAAGATCAGATACATTTGAAAAAGTGAAATACATTCTTACCAAATGACTAGCCATTCTACTCCTAAAGTATTGTATGATTTTACAAAAAATGTATATATACTATGTTTATATCAACTTCCTTTTTTTCTTTTTAGGACAGCGTCTGTAGGGTCTACAGGGTCTCACTGTGTATACTGGACTTACAGCCTCCTGCTTACAGCCTCCCAAGTGCTGGGATTACAGGTGAATGCCACCAAGCTCAGTCCTAATTGCCATCTCAGCATGCCCCGGGGGCGGGGCCGGCACAGCATATATGTGGGCTTTCTTTGTAATTGGCCAAGATTGGAAATGAACTGGAGGTGTGTCAGTAGATGCAAATGAATCAGCAAATTATGGCACCGCCCTCCAAGGGAAGACTACTCATTAAAAGACACAAACTGCTGATATGCACAACGCTGAGGGTGAATCTCGAATTATTCTGAATGAAAAAGTTAAATAAGTAAATACTATGAAATTCTCTTTATATAAAACTCTAATAAGTGCAAACAGTGACAGTAGGGCAACGGGGAGTGGGACTGGGTGCTGGAACACAGAATGACAAATATGCCTAAGAAAAACATTGAGAGTGGTGGATACCTTCACTACCTTGACAGCGGCGATGGCTCCCCAGGTGGGCACTTCCATCAAAGCGTATCAGGTTGTACACATTAGCTATGGGCAATGTATGTCAATTACAATTCACTATAATAGTGCTATTGAAAGTATGACTAAACTAATATTCGGGTGCAGTGGGGTGCCGCTGTAATCCCAGCACTCCGAAAGGCTGAAGTAGGATTGCAGCTCTGAATCCAGCCTGGGGATTAGTGATTTAGTGAGACTCTGTTTCAATTTATTTTATTTTATTTTATTTTTTAAGTCTGGAGGCACATCTCATTGCAGAGGCCCTGAATGGTTCAGGCTCTAGGATTGAAAGAAAAAGGAGACCCGTTGAAAGCATATGCCAAGGCACGTTCACACGCAGATGCCTCAGGTCACGGTGCGCATGTGGGCCCACCTTTCCCATCCTCACTCCCTGTTCTTCTCCATCCTGCCCTATAATCCCACTTGGCTGAGACATCCTGTCTCTAAACTACTTTCTTGTTTCTGTTGATGCCATCCCTTCTCTTCCACTCCCTTTTACAACTCTGCACCTCCTGTAAGGCTCAGCCCAAATGCCTTCTCCATAAAAATCTCCGCATTCCTACAACTACAGATAGGCTTTTTCTTCTTCGTATTCCACAGCAGTTTTGTACCAATTTCATGATTACAGCGCAGCCTGATTAAACGTGCTGATCGGAATTTCCTGATACAACTATATGCATGTGTTTATTTTAACTTCCTAAGAAGACTACAAACTCGTCAAAGTCAATGATCAGTAATTCATCTGTGTCTCTCCTCCTTTAGGAAGTACAGACTTACAATAGTGGGTTCTTTGTAAAGACTTTTAGGATGGATTGGATAATTTTATTTCTATATCACCTCATTCTAATTTCCACTCCTCTTCGTGCTCACCTACAATGAGCTATGGGAAAATGAGCAATAACATTTGAATAGACCTTGAGTTACCTCATAATAAGCCTCGATAGCAATTTAGACAGTTCCTCTAAAGTGAGAATACCGAGCAAAATGAAAGAAGTAAAACCTGTCATGGCTGGGCGTTGGTTTGTTATTAGTGCTGTTTCCAAGCAACAATTGCAACATTTGGCCCATGAAAATCAGAAAATGCTAAATTCCTCGACAGGTCAGCTGTTACGGAACAACTAAATCCCACAATTTCTATTATATTCTCCAAACCAAGAATCATTGTCCCAGCATGCTGCCAATTATCCCACTAAAACCAATATTCATATTTTGGTTAGCATGGTGAAATGGATCATTTATGAGAAAACAACAGATTTTTCCCTTCTGAGTTTATGCCCCTTGAGTACCTGGACTCTTCGGAGATTTGCTGTCCATTACGGCTGTCTGCTCTCACCTATTGAAAATAAGAGTCACGCGTCAGTCCCCAAAGGGCCGTGAGTTGCCTTAATTAACCACTGAGTCAAGCAGTTTAGCGTGCTGAGGTGAGTCACAGCCTGCCCCTTCTCTGTTCCTTCTCTGCTACCTCCTCCTTGCTCCTGAGGCTGAGGGTAGCTACAGTAAGGAGCATGTGTCCAAGGGGCTTGTGTCTGGGGATGTGCTGTGGAGACTACTGAAGAGACAGCCTTTCCTGGACTTTGTCCCTGTGTTGTCAGCAGCTCTGACATGAGCGCCCTGGGGTGACCAAGAGGGGAGATAAGAGCAGAGCCAGGAGGGGGGGGGGAATGCAGAGAGCTGACAGGAAGCTCACAATAGGCCCTGCTTCATGCCAGGGCTGCACCCTCTCCAAAGGGAAGCCAACGCACAGGGACCAGGGTGCCCAGCGCTCCACTGCCTCAGCCCGTGGGGCTGTCACAGGCCACTGACTCTGGGACAGAGGCCAACCGAGAATCCTTTCTTGAGTGGCTCTGGTGACTCCGCAGCTGTGAGAAAACCAAGTGATGGAAGGGGACTTGGTCACGGGTGTCAGGCAGGCGACATTTGAGAAACTAGGACTGTGTCTGCGGCCAGTGTTACCGGAAATGAGTAACATTGGTCACATTGAAGACCCTGGAAAGGGGCGTGCCAGGGCAGTCCTGGTGAAATGGGGAGAAGACAGGAGAAAGAGGGCCTTTGGTGACTCAGCGGTCATGTGCAAGTACAATTCCTCCCTTCCATTTCTTCTGCATAAACTTATTCATATATATATATGAATAACTCCTACTCATTCATATATATATATATGGGTGAGTAGGAGGGAGCAAAGTCATAAAGTCTCAAGATTAAGATGTTCTCAAAAGCATACTTTCGGTCATTAGACGGAAGCAAGTGGCAAGTGAGAGCTCTTTGAAGAACACTGGGGGACTTTCGTAGACCTTAAAATCACACCTACCCTTTCTAGAAAAGGATTTTCTTCCTTTAGATAGCATGTACCATAACCGTCATGCAATTTGAGCAAACTGTTACCTTACTGGGGCATCTTAAGGTGTCTGCTGACTGCGCTGCCTGTGGCCCAAGCCTGATAGAATGGGCACACTCTGCCCAGTGCCATTCTTAGGGAAAGTGCCAAGCTAGCATAACAATACTATAAAGCTTGTGTAATTTTTACAATAATACAATACACATCTATAAGCAAGGAAAGAGTCATTAGAAAGATTAAGCAACTTGCCTTTCATCACATAACTAAAAAAGAAGCAGATCCAAATTGCAACTTGAAAGTTGGTCTTTACCATTTTGCTATTCTTTCTTTCTTCTTCTTTTTTTTTTTTGTTTTTTTGCTATTCTTTCTAAGAAGAACTTTTATATAGTTCAGCTGTCTTTCCTGTTGTTGCCCTCTCCCCCAAGAAATCTTCCAGTTTAGTCCTTCAATCACATTCAGGAAACTCTCTCCATATTCATTGTGTAACCTAGTTATTGTAATGTCACTTGGGACTTAATCAATGCAGTAATTACAGTTTCTATTTTCCTCTGATTGTATAACCTAAGAAAAGTATAAAGACAAACCCTACAGTCACAAGATTGTTCAATTGCGAATTCCTAATTTTCAATTTTGCAATTGCTCAGTTGCTAAGAAGTTTCCAGGTCACCATAGCTTTGAGAAGTCAAATTAGTTATGCTGTATAATACTTACTGGAAGCCGAAGGTTCGCTGGTCCACTTCTCAGAAAAGTGCTCTGTGCCTAGGTCTCCTGAACTCCGCCTGTTCACTCTGACCATGGTGCCAGGGTGTGGACTGAGTACATCCTTGTTTGAAATGTGAACCAGAAGGAAGTTCTTAAGTTTGTACCCTTAGGAAGATTTTCCTTTTGCCCCAAATTCAAAAGGAAGCTGGTGCCTCAGGGGAAGTCCTGGGCTTTCAATCTTCTTGTGGCTTGGCACAGAACTGCCCTTGGTGTTCCAGGTATCTAGCACCAGATAAGCAAAAGCAAACACATTTAAAAAAAAATTCCTGCAAGACTTTGGACCACGATCTCTATGACACTGAGGACAATGCCAACCTAGCTTTGACCGTCTGCAGGGCGGACAAGAGGGACAGTTCCACTGCTTCCCACCCATTCATATCTTACCAGTATTCACTGGGAAAAGGCAGGGAGGATTTCTTTGGATGAGAGGAGGAAATAAACGCCTGACTTCTGGAACACACTTGTGTACATCAATGGTTTCCAGGACCAGTTGCTTATTCAACCATGATGGCGGTGTTATCATCAACAAGCAAGCTCTGGGCACGTGATCCTACACAATTATGCAACGTTTTTGCGCTGCTAGGGATGAAACCCAGGGCTCTGCCTGTGTTACACAAGCTCAGTGTTCATACTCTGCTGCTAAGTAATACTCCCAGGCCATACTCAGCAACTCTGAAAGTTAAATGGGTTGGATGCACACATGGTTAAGCCTGATTAGTGATCTGTGGTCAGCAAAGAGCTTTAGATATATTCTCATTTATATATTGTTAAGAGAGAGAAGAAAATGCTAAAGAACTTCATCCTATAAATCATCTTCAGGAATAAAAGTATGTAATCTTTAATTTTAATCTTTATTATCCTCAATAGAGTACCTGGACTCTAATCAGCTCTGCTGTGATTCATTGCTCGGTCTTAGAAAGATGAAACTTAAGTTCTCTAAGGCTACTTCCTTGGTGGCAAAATGGAATTGGTAATTATGACTTCTCAGGATCTTTTGAATGCTAAAGATTTAATACGTGAAAAGGATCTACCATAATGCTGGACCCATGGTGAGCATTCAACAAAAGTAATTTCTCTGTTTTTCTCTTTCTACATAAGTGTTATTGTTCCTCTATTTGGCAAAACTAGCTGGACTTCAGGTATGCAGAAATGACTGATTTATTGCTCACCTCTAACACAGGGTAGGTTTTATCTGATTGTTTTGTAAGGTATTTCCTAACTGTTTCTTTAGGGTCATTATCAGTATTCTGAAAATAACCTTAGTATCTTTACATTTTGTATATAACCAGATATTACTAGTTATAGCCTGTGACATTTAAAGTGGATTGTCAATTTGTTTGGATTGTGAGCTGCATAGCCATTTTGTAAGGCACATTTTTGGATGTCTATGTTGGCCAGGGAGGTACGACCCTGGGAACTCTATCTGGTCCCTGGCTCTCCCTCTGTGGTGCTGTTTCTAGCCACCATAAAGGGAGCAACCTTGCTCCGCCATAACCATCCACCATGATATTCCTGCATTGAAGCTCACAAACCATGGACTGCTCCTCTACAACCATGAGCCAAATTAAACCAAACCTTTTCTCCTTTCAGTTGTGAGTGCTGGACTGGGGAGATAGCTCAGTAGAATAAACACTTGCCTGGCAAGCTCAATATCCTGAGTTCAATCCCTGGTACTGAAAAAAATAAATAAATAAATAAATAAATAAATAAATACCTTTCAGTTGTGAGTGCTGGGTTTTTGTCCCAAAGATGTGGAAGCTGACTAACTCATAGCTGTAAATATTTCTCCAAAAGCTTCACCAATCTTCCATTACTTGGAAACTACAAAGCCATAGACAGCATATCTTTATAATACAGAGCCCTAACCAAAAAGAGGAAGAGGAAAATTACTTCATAGTTTATGATTCTTTGGAAAGATATCCCCATAAAACAGGGAGACAGTTTTGTAACTTGGGCCTGACAGAACGGCTCCCACAAAGGAGGGTGGCAAGAAGAAGAAGGGCTGTTCTGCCACCAATGAAATGGTGACCCGAGAATACACAATCAACATTCACAACTGCATCCAGGAGTGGGCTTCAAGGAGCGCACCCCTCGGGCACTTAAGGAGATCTAGAAGTTTCCATGAAGGGGATGGGGACTTCAGACGTGCGCATCAGCAACAGGCTCACCAAAGCTGTCTGGGCCAAAGGAATAAGGAATCTTCCATATTGTGTCCAGGTACGGTTGTCCAGGAAACGGAATGAAGATGAAGATTCACCAAACAAGCTTAGTAAATATTTCTCCAAAAGCTTCACCAATCTTCCATTACTTGTCCCTGTTACCACACTCAAAAATCTCCAGACAGTGAATGTGGATGAGAACTAACTTTGAAATAAAGTTACAGAACTGCTAAAAAACACAAGAAGACAAACAAACAAACAAAAAACCAGGCAGGAAGATGGACTTCTGCCCTTTTTCTCTCTCTCACCCTGTTCCTAGCTTTTTATCTTACTCTCTAATAGTAGTATGAGACAACTGTTTGAAGAAGAAGCTGTCCATGGGTGCCTAGAAAAGCTATTCATACAGTATAGATGCTGCCTGTAAAGATAAACCAGAAAACAAACAAAACAGGCTCAGACATCAAACACTGAGCTTAGGAAATGTAAACACAACTATAAAATGCAAGCACAGTCTTCCTCATTAATGCACTCTGATAACCTGTAAACAAGGCATCAAACACCTGCTGCGAATGAGCAACGGACCGCCTATTCGCTTCGAATATCACACGTGCTAATGCATGTCTTTGCTAATTATGACTTCCTCTTTACGTTTTTAATTTTTGTTAAAAAATTTGCAGTGCGTAATGACCACACTCATCGTGGGAGTTTGTGTAGGTACAGAACATATCTTAATTCTATTTACTTCCGCATCCACTCCCCTTAATTATGCTTTTCTATTATGAAATTCTTCCTTAGTTTTCTGCTTCATCTCAACCAAAACCCATCTGAAAAGTTTATAGGACCTGGAAATATCTAATATTTATTTATGAGAATTTTTTTTTTACTTTATCTAGAGTATCTCATTGACCCCAACAATTTTGTCAAATAAGCATTATTATTCCTTAATGTCAGAAGGAGGAAGCTAAAATTTAGAGAGATGGGTAGTTTGCTTAAGGTCATGCAGTCAGTATGTGAGACTAAGCACAAACCAAGGTCTCTCTTGCCTCCAGAGCTGGCCTGTGGATTTTGTGCCCTCTGCTGTGTGAGTCCTGGACTAGGGATGGTTTCCTTGGGCTTTCAGTCTTTCCTTCCACTGACTTTAGAACAATTTATAGGACACAGACTTCTGGGCCTTATGAGCTTATTTATGTCCCTTTCTTGAAGAGCTCTAAAATCCAGTCAGCACAGATTACGATTATGCCCTTGAGCCAAAGCCAACAACTCATCCATTTGTAGGCTGTCCTGTGGCAAGTTACATGCTCATTGTCCATGTGGACAGTGATTGTGTCCCTATTGATGTTACCAGAGAAGGAATGACAGCTGCTGTGTTGGCTCCGCCCCCAGGGCATGCTGAGACTGAGATTGAGACTGGGTGTGGTGGTGCATGCCTGCAATCCCAGCTCTTGGGTGGCTGTAAAGAGGCGGATCAGTATGAGTTCAATCTACGCAGTGAGACTCTGAACACCCTGTAGACCCTTCCCTAAAATAAAATAAAAAAGAAAGAAATGGGAGCAATAACAGTACTTCAGGGTAACCTTACTATACCTCCTCTGGAACAAAGAATTTGAAAGAAACAATGAGAAAGCTCTACACACACACACACACACACACACACACACACACACACCCTGATTACTAGGCTGTGTTAAAATACTAGTCCCAAATCCATTTCTTAACCCTTGTTCAGTTGGTGATAATATGAATCATCTTACACTGTAAAGAGAAAGAAATGGATAGCATAAAACATGTTTACGATTCTCTTCTATCACTGTATTTAGAAATTGCTATATGGGCAGTATTACTTGTGACTGCAAGTAGAAAAAAATAATTATAGTAGTTTATCATTTATTTGATATCATGCAGTAAGTCAGAAGTGACCCGGTGCCAGAGTTAGTCTGCGAACTTCCACTCCTTTGTCCTCAACGTGACTTCTTAGTGATTTCTTCTTTCCTTCAGGTAAGGCCTCAGGTTTTCTTAGAACACAGAATATATGTATTATTTTCTTGGCTTTTCTGCATATGTTGGCGGCCACCTGCATCATTTTCTCACAAGACCCAGGAAACGCCAGGGGAAAATGAGTATTTGCTCTATGTCCCTTCTACCGCAGGGAAGAAAAGTTTTGCTACTAAGCCAGCAGAACACGTCCCCTTCCCTCTGGCTCAGTGGCCTTGTGTCATCTTAGGCCTAATCATCACCCAAGGGAAAACGAGACCTTGCTGATCAATCACAACCCCTTCCCTTGCCATCAGAATGAAACTTAATAGCCCCTCAGGCAGAGGGCTATTAAGTTGCCTGGCCCTACCTCCTGTCCAAGACCATGCCCAAGATCTCCAGCTCATGGCTCTGCTTCCCAGACACCTTGACCTTCTCCCACTCTGCGTCTGCTCTCTGACATGCTCTTCTCCTGCCTCTTTCCAGCGAGCTCCCACTCCTCTGTGTTGACCGTGACTTCTCAGCAAACTCCTCTCCCGCAGACGAAGCCTTGGCTTGGCTTAGAGTCCATGACTTTGTGCTGTGCTAACTTTAGAGCACATTTTGCCAATTATAATTTTGTACCCATTTGTTAGATTCATTCATTAATGGCTGTTTATTCCTTCACAAAACCATATAATCCATGAAGATTAGCACTATGTCTGTTTCTGCTAATCATTGAATCCCTGGTAGGTAGCTTAAATGCTTCTCCCATTTTATTTATTGTGTGCCTACTATCTGCCAGGTGTTATTTTAGGGATGCATACATAAATAAAAAGATAAGTGTTTTTTTAAGAGTTTATAATTGGGGCAGGGAGACTTGGAGACAATGAACTCCAAAACTCTAGTGGGAATTCCTTCTACTTCACTGTCTTGCGTCCCTGGGTCACATTTTGGGCCTCGTAATTTCCCATCCCTGGATAACCTTTGATAACTTTAATCCTAGAATCGTGCTCTCCAATGGCAACTTCCCTTCCTCCTACCCCCTCTGTTCCTCATTTCAACCAAACCCATTCTTCAGCCTCTCTGAGACCTCAACGACCCTTCCCCATTCTTTTCACGTCATTGGGCTCCGTGTTCAGTGACCTGTCTCACTGAAACTGCCACTTCCTCCACCTCTTGCAAAAGAAGAGCTAGGTGTGGCTTTGGGTGAGGAAAACTACAATGGCATCTGGGTGAGCCCCTGCACAGGGCGCTGCCCCACTCCCACCTAGCTATTGACCATACGCTGACCCCACAATTTCTCCAAAGAGACAGTGGCAGGTAGCCACACCTTGTCGACATTCTCTCTCCCTCTGCTGCCAA